TATGTGAAATATTATGATTTTATTGTGGAACAAAATAACAACTTACGTACAAGCTAACAACGATATTAGAATTAACAAGTTCACAATGTCACTTGGTCTTATATGTGTCATACCTACTTAATTATGCATGCAAAGGTATGATGTTTATGTTTTCGCGTGATGTTCATATCTTAACACTCCTTTCGAAAAAATATAAACTAATCACTATTCCTTGAAATGTTTGTTACTCCCATATCAGATCTCATTCGTTGAAATACAGTTTTTCCTAATGGTTTCGTTAACATATCAGCAACCATTTGTTGTGACGTACAATACTCAAGTGCAATTTCTTTCTTCAGTACTTTGTCGCGAATGAAATGATATTTTATGTCAATGTGTTTCGTTCTTGGATGGTATTTCGGATTTTTCGACAAACTTATTGCTCCTTGATTATCTTCCTTTATGATAGTTGGTTCATTTTGAGTGAAGTTTAAATCATGTAGTAATCCTCTTAACCATATTGCTTCTTGACATGCTTGTGATGCTGCAACATACTCAGCTTCAGTAGATGAGAGAGCTACAATACTTTGCTTTTTGCTCGCCCAACTTACCAATCCACCACAAATCATGAATAGGTATCCTGAATGTGATTTTCGATTATTTGGATCACATCCCCAATCAGCATCAACAAATCCACTTAATTTAACTTCGGATTCCTTTTGTCCATCAAAGCAAATGCCGTGGTTAATCGTACCTTTAATGTAACGTAAAATACGTTTGGCAGCATTCCAATGGTTTTGGCTAGGGTTAGCACAGAATTGATTAACTGTTGAAAGTGCTTGTGCCAGGTCCGGTCTTGTCGCTGTAACTGCATACGTTAATGCACCAATTAATGCTTGATATTGGGTTATGTTCATTGGCTCTCCTTCATTATTCAACAGCTTGGTTCCGAGCTCAACGGGGGTTGCAACAGGTTTGCAGTCTTGCATTCCAAATCTCTTCAATAAATTCGTCAAATACTTTGATTGATGAAGTCGCATTTGTTTCTTTTCCCTGTCTCGTTGAATTTGAATGCCAAGACAGAAATGAATTTCACCTAGATCTTTCATTTCAAAGCGTTTCTTTAAAATACCTTTCTCCTCTTCTAGCATTTTCTTGTTGTTACTTGCCAGAATCAAATCGTCGACGTATAACGCTAAAAGCATGATATTATCTCCCTTTCGTTTAATGTACAGGCACGGATCAGAATTGGATTGAACGTAAGCGGATTTCTTTAAGAACTGATCAATGGTATCAAACCAGCATCTCGAAGATTGCTTCAAGCCATATATGCTTTTGTTTAATTTACAAACCTTCTGTTCTTGTCCCTTTTTCTCATATCCTTCAGGTTGCTTCATGTATAATTCCTCTTTAAGTTCGCCGTTCAGAAATGCTGTCGACACATCCATTTGGTGTATGTCCAAATCTAACTGATTAGCAATTGCCAAGAAAGAGCGAATTGATGTATATTTTGCTACTGGAGAAAATGTTTCTTCGTAATCTAAACCATATTCTTGTAAGTATCCTTTAGCAACTAACCGAGCTTTATGTCGTTCAATTGAACCGTCTGCTTTGTACTTTACTTTGAATATCCATCGAGAATCTATGGCTTTACGATCTTTAGGTAAGTCAACCAATGTCCACGTATTGTTTTTTATGTGGGAGGAATATTCATTGTCCATTGCTTGTTTCCATTTCGCCTTATCTGGACTATGAAAAGCTTCATTAATGTTGAGTGGTTCATCTTGACGGATAGATTCATCATCAATGCTAGCGACATTGTTCTGCCACCAATTACCTGTGATCACCACACCATATCTATCAGGAGATTTGTGTATTCGTGCTGATCGTCGTGGTTGTTGTTGTTCATCTGTCATACTGTTGTTGGAATTATCTTCCATTTCTTCTTTGACTTCGTGTTCTTCATTGTCTTCTAATAGTTCATCATTCTGTTTTTCGGTCACAGTATCTTTATCATATCCATGTATTACTATAGTAGATTTCTTTCGTCGATCAAATGAGCTTTCGTCAAATAACACGTCTCTTGATATGTGAATTTTACCTGTTGAAGCGTCGTAGAGTCGATAACCTTTACTTGTGAGGCTGTACCCAACAAATGTGCATTTCTTGGTTTTGGAGTCCCATTTCTTCCTTGTTTCCTTAGGAACGTGCATGTAAGCTGTGCAACCAAAAATTCTCAGATGTGAAACATCAGGTTTCTTAGAATGGAAACATTCGTAAGGTGTAACTCCGTTCACGGATACAGTAGGACTTCGATTTCTTAAGATGACTGCAGTATGAACTGCTTCAGCCCAGAATTTCTTTGGTAGTTTTGCGTTGTTCAGCATAGATCGTGCAGCTTCTTGAATGGTTCTATTCATTCTTTCAGAAACTCCGTTCTGCTGTGGCGTTCTTGGAACACTAAACTGACGCTGAATTCCCTTATCCTTTAGATATTTTTCAAACATTTGACAAGTGTACTCACCACCGTTGTCTGATCGAAGTACTTTAATTTTCTTGTTAGTGAGATTGGTCACCATTGCTTCAAACTCTTTAAATTTCTCAAAAGCTTCATCCTTTCTCTTCATAAAGTAGACTGTTGTGTATCTTGATTTATCATCAATAAATGTTATGAAATATTTATTTCCACCAAGACTTGTTTCTTCCATCGGTCCACAAACATCGCTATGGACAAGATCGAGTACATCTTTAGCACGCGTTGCAGGTTCTCGAGGAAAGGTTGCTCGTATCTGCTTTCCTTGTGTACATCCTTCACAAACTTCAAAGTGATCATCTGATTGAAAATTAAGACCTTTAACCAACTTTTGATCTCGAAGTAGACGTAAATTCTTCAGGCTTAGATGGCCATACCGTTGATGCCATATTTCTTCGCTAGTATCACTTGTAGAAACATTCGCATGCTTCGAATCATCCTGTTCTTCTTTAACATCAAGAACATACAGGTTATTCATCATTCTTCCTGATCCAGATATAGTTCCATTTTTATCAAGTATCAAGCAAGTGTGTAGATTAAATTCAACTGAGTATCCTCGTTTTGCCGTAGCACTAACTGAGAAGAGATTTTTTCCTAAATCTGGAACATATAGAACGTCAACCAATCTTCTTGGTTCATACTTCTTCTTAGACTTAATCTCAATGTGTACATTTCCTTTTCCCAGTGCTTGAACTATTCTGTCATCTCCTAGCTTTACCTTTTCAGGGAATTTGAATGGGATGAAATTAACCATGATGTCCTTATTATATGACATATGAGATGATGCACCTGAATCAATGTACCATGCAGATTCTTTGCTATCTGTAAACAATGATGAATTCTGAACTGTGGCTCCGTAGGATGCTTCTTCCCTTTATTTCTATTGTCACTTTGCTGATTCTGTTTGGGTTTGCGACATTCTCGAGCCCAATGTCCAGGTAACCCGCAGTTATGGCATTTACCTTTTCTTTTGAATTTGGTATTCTTAACTTTGTCGTTTTTGGACTTTTGACATAGTAGTGCTTTCTCACCAATATCCTTACTTTCGTTGGATTCTTTACGTTTCTGTTCTTCATGAAGAAGTCTAGCAGTAACGAATTCTAATGATAAGTCATCCGCTCTAGATTCCAACGCTGTTATTAAGCCACTGTACGAATCAGGTAAACTACAAAGGAGTGTCGCCACTTGATCTTCCTCAGAAACAGACGCACCCAATGCTTCTAATTGACTTGCAATATCCTTCATCTTGTTGAGATGTTCGGTCATGGAATCATCAGGACCCATACTTGTAGTGAAATATTTCTTTCGCAAGAATAACTTATTGGCCAAAGATTTGACTTCATAATGACTTTCTAATTTCGCCCAAGCATCTTTTGCAGTACGCGCTGATCGAACGAGAGATAGCTGTTCATCGCCGAGAGACAAACATATTGTTGCAAATGCCTTCCTTTCACGCCTTTGATATTGTCGACGTTGAGTATCAGTAGTTCCTTCACCATTAGGTTCTACCTCATCGCCAAAAACTATTTGCCAGAGATCCTTCTCTTCAAGTATCATCTGCATCTTAAACTTCCAAAGGTGAAAGTTTTGGCCATTGAACTTTTCGATCCGTGTAAATGCTTCGTCATTTCCCGAAGTCGCCATATTCAATATTTCGCACTTCTGTAAGTTATATTCTCATGAAATCGCGATATCTCATAAACTTTCCGTATTTGCCGTCATAAACAGAAACTCAAACGCTCCTGGGCCCATAACCTGTTAAATTATTCGAGGTCCGGCAATAACGTTCGGATAATATGTGAAATATTATGATTTTATTGTGGAACAAAATAACAACTTACGTACAAGCTAACAACGATATTAGAATTAACAAGTTCACAATGTCACTTGGTCTTATATGTGTCATACCTACTTAATTATGCATGCAAAGGTATGATGTTTATGTTTTTCGCGTGATGTTCATATCTTAACAGCTATAATTTATTTTGAGGTACACTGGATCCGCCACTGTTTCCAGTTATTTGTCCAAGCCAATTGTGAAGATTTGCTTGCAAAACTGACGTTGATTTAGTGACATTTGTGGTAGATAAAAAATTTCTGATTACTACATTGAATGCAGCACTAACTAATTTAATGATTCTTTTAACGGTAAAATCCTGTGTGCTCTTACGTTTTCGCCTCAAAACCATTGGCTGTTGTTGCCTTAGCTTTTTTTCCTGAGCAATATGCATCAGCGTTTCTCAACCACAAAACACACTGTTTCCTTAGAGTGCCGTAAATAAGTTACAAGTATGTTCAATACGGTTCAGAAAGAATTTACTGCATTTAGTTGACTGAATTATGTATTTTTTGTTCATTAACGCGTACATACACGTTTTATTGCGATTAGTCCAGGAATCGTAATAAGCCGTTAGAAAATGAGCATCGCAAAAAGACGCAGAAAACTGAAAAGTAAGTTGAATTAGCACTTTTCAGCAGTTTTAAAAATTGTAGAATGTCACGACTCATTAATTGTCCAAAGGAAACAATTGATCCAAACATGATAATAAGATTGCACCAGAAATTTCAATGTTTTGTAAAAAAACGTTACTATGTCCATAAAGTATGACACCAATCTCCCAACATATTCACCAGAAAGTAACATAGATGACTACCAATTGGCTAGGAACTTTCTCCAATTACAGCAGTCCTTTAAACGTAATATGAAAAACATTAAAAACAACAAGATTTTCAATGGACAGTTCTATAGAGATTTCCTATTAGACATAAGACATACATGTAGATTTCCATGTTCTTCTATCATTAACGTCATAAACTATTTTCTAATTATATTATTGGATAATAATATTGCCTCTTAAGTAGTTCGGCAAAGCATTCAAGAGTCTATTGAATCCATTTAATTATGATATGTTTGATTTGCTTATTTTACAACGAGTTGTAACAAACAACAAATGGTCTGGACGAACCAGAGCCAAACGTGCAACGAATTGTGCTATTCTTTGTGTCGAACGTTTATCGTCTAATGCATCTGAATGTTTTAGATGTTCTACTAATATCGTTGAGTGTTTGATGGAGCACTCTTCCAGTATTCTCCCAATCACCATGAAAAGGTAACAGAATTCAACAGAAAAACTTGAGATTCTACAGCAACAAGTGCTCACTGACATCCCACCCAAACTAGAGCAACGTATCCCTTTCAAAACAAGTGTGGATAAATCCATAATTTCTTTGGGACCTATCATTCGGGGGGTGAAACACTTCTGGGAAAAGTTGTCATTTAAAATAAGTTTTACTGCATGGCCTGAATGAAGAAGTGAATGTGCCCAGGTTGCGTTAAAATTGGGATAATATTCTTATATGCCTCGAACATTAATATCAGCTATTTGTATTTTGCAGTAGTTTGCGTTTGTGATCAATCAAGGAGACTAAGAACAATCAATAACGTGATAAAATTTGATGGAAAAACAGAAAAAGTTTGTTGTTGTCCTTTAAACGAGCATAATGGTTTGCTAGCTGTTTCTAGTATATGGGTTCGATTCCTGTAGTGCTCATTTTAAAAGGTTACAGCAATGCGCAAAAAATTGTTTTTCGCGTTTTCGAGGCTTTGGAACTTTCCAAATTGTCTGGGCTCCATAGATGGAAAGAATGACTACCGCTAAGGCAAAACGACTACCGCTAAGGTTGTCGAAACGTCAATCAACATCAACACCAACAGTCCTTCTATGGACTCTACTAACCTGGATGATCTACATCTACAAACATGTACTCAGTATATTGTGTATTGACGGAGTTGAGCTAAACTAACCTTCCCCACCACAATTTGGACGTGTTTTTTAAATTATGACTTTCCATTTCCTAAAATTATCAAACATTTCTTCAGTCGAAAAGTTCTTCGGTACAATGTTAAAGATAAAAAGCTTAATTAAAGACACCTTACCAATGGTTGATTGAGTAAAATCTTTAGATTGAGTTGAAAATCATCTGTACAGCTTGTATACTTCCGGAGGTAATTAATATTAAAATCGACTCTTTACTGAGCATGCGCAATTGTAGACACTCGGGACGAGGCTCATTCCAAAGCTCTCAATGAGAGGTCTGGAATGGTGTAAAAATCATCTCCACAGCGTGGTTTAAGTGTAGCGTAAGGGTGTTTTAAGGGTGATTTGAGTGTACCTTTAGCGTGGTTTAAAGTTGGTCCAAGGCTTCAAGCTACGCTTCGCTACCCTAGACTACGGTTAAACCACCCTTAAACTACCCTTAACCCTCCTCTAAAACCACCTCTAATCCACTTTTAAAACCACCCTTAAACCACCAGATTGATATACTCTAAAATCCCAAGATACCTCTACGTACTCCCAACTCCCAAGATACCAACACGCATTTTTCTATTATTTATTGAAGAGCTTTCACAAACCTGTAAGATGGTGATATCTTCGGCAAGTGTACCGTAACCGTTATTTCTTGTGAATATTCGAGTTTAGCCTCAATACAATGAAGTTAGTCAACACAGTTAAATTTATCATATGACAAAGAATGTAGTTTGCATGAGTTGTTCTTGTGTAGAACAAAACTGATAAACGAAACTAAAAACCTTGTTGTTGGTATACTCTATAGGCCATCATAGAAACGCACAACGCTACACTACTTAAAGAATGGCGGTCAGCTAAAAATGTCCAATTCGATTCTACGTAGATCTGACAATTGCTTAAACGTTGCTCATTATGGTAATCAGCTTATTCTACCTAACATATCTCTGGTATTGAAGAAATACTTTGTAAACGTTCACTGGTATCGAAGAAACAATTTGTAAACGTTCACTGGTATTGAAGAAATACTTTGTAAACGTTCTCTGGTATAGAAGAAATACGTTGTAAATGTTCTCTGGTATTGAAGAAATACGATGTAAACGTTCTCTGGTATTGAAGAAATACGTGGTAAACGTTCTCTGGCATTGGAGAAATACGTTTTAAACGTTCTCTGGTATTGAAGAAATACGTTATAAACGTTCTCTGGTATTGAAGAAATACGTTGTAAACGTTCTCTAATAATGAAGAAATACGTTGTAAACGTTCTCTGGTATTGAAGAAATACGTTGTAAACGTTCTCTGGTATTGAAGAAATACGTTGTAAACGTTCTCTGGTAATGAAGAAATACGTTGTAAACGTTTTCTGGTATTGAAGAAATACGTTGTAAACGCGACAGGCCAATTTGAAACACTGTTCTACACTTTATCTTCACAAATATTGTGTTTGCTGTAACGTTTCACACGCTAAGTAGCTCTAATTGAACACAAAATACACTACAGCTACCCTCAATAAGAAAATTCAGTGTTTTTCCTGTGCTTACCTTTTATTGAGCGATGAATGTCGTCTTGCATAGCCAACCCATGATCCACGTAAACTTTGCCTCAAATCAAAGTTGCCGCGCGACGAAAGTATTCCAATGACCAAATCATAATGAAAATAATTCTCTGCTGTCAAGAAGAACATTAGTTTAAAACATTAAAGAAAACAAGTGGAAATACAAATACAAAATTGGACTATGGAGGATAAAGTTTTTAGATAACATGGTTAAATAACACTAGCGAAAGTTTCAATAATAGATCACTCCTGACAAAGACATAAGACTGGAGCATATAGTGACACTCACGTTTCAACATTAGATCACTCCTGATGAAGAAACTACGCTAGAGTATATGTAAACTTATCTTTCAACAACATATCGTTCATGCTCAAGATATTAGATAGACGTACGACAATCTCTAATTTCATATAAATCTCGATAAAAAATCTGCTCCCCGGAGTTGACATGCTATTAGATAGGCAACAAACAAAGATGAGATAGCTGTACAAACCTGTATTATCGCAGCAAAGCTTCAAATCTTTAACAAGATGATTATAGATGTATAACACGAAAATAGCGATCAATATTAGTAAAGTTGGCTTAAGGATGTCTTTTAATGTAAACATAAGTTGAAATTAAACAGTTACAATTAACTATAACGTAGAAATATCCTTCCCTAATTAAAATAATCTTCACGTTATCCTCAATAACGAACTATACACATTGCTGCATTTTAATACATACGAACTTTGACCTCGGGTGTTGCAGAAACGTCATGTAACCAGTCTCAAAGTAGCAATATAAATTAGCAAACGTTGTGATCTATAACTTGTGAGAGTGTTCAATAAAATTGTTGAAAGATACAGTCCTTTGGTGATGTTTGAAACTAGATACATATTGAATGTTCATTATAAGATAAGTGCAGCCTTTCTTAAACTAAATATTCACCTGTGATAAATCACCCAAATCGTTCCATGCATTCCATTTTGCCTTTCCAACAAAGTCCAAAGTCCCAGGCTTTGGAGTATTACATTGCCTAAAGAACCCTGGAAATGTATATTGTTATTTGGGTTCGTCTTATTTTTAACTTTGATTGTATTGTATGGTGGGACTGTGAACAGTTATAATTGAAAAAAATTCACTGTGCCTTTGCAAAAATGTGATTCAAATGCAATGATGCACATTGTGCTTAAAAATTTAAAGTCACCATTTAATTGAAGAGCTTGTAGTTAGGAGATACAACAACTAATGTTCAAGCTTTATGTAAAAACCGGATACAATATCTTTATGAATCGTAAAATACCTGCTTAAAAAGGGCGTACATCTTTAACTTCAATTCATTCCCTGGATCTTGAGTTAAAGATCCTACTTTGTCTTTTGCTTCTTTAAACTGGTGAGAGATTGCAGAGAACTTCGAACCATCTTCGTAAAAATGTTCAGGTTTAAATAAGGTCGAGATAGATAGTTCACTATACCACGACGAAAAATTGCATATGCTTTACAAACTCTTGGCGTCACGTTCATTTGCTATAATAAAATTTACAATTAATATTTTTTTATTATTGATTGAACGTTGGACGAATAAGAAAATTGATATCTAGAAATGACATGAATGAAAGGCAAAAGTAAATCAAACATGTGACTATTTTTGACCAATGACATTAGGATGTTGATAGTAGTTACAATGGATGATAGTGAATAATTATGGCATGCTTTCAAAAAGGCGTATTCTGAACAAGTGGTATGTTAACTATATCGTGTATATTATCCGACTGGTGCAGCTTAAGAAGAAATTTCAGGGCTTCCATTTACTACATTTTTCAAAGTTCATGTATGAGGACAATATTTCTTCGCGTATTCATATTTTTTAGGAGTTTGCAACATCAAAAGTTCGAAGCAAGGCAATCGATCAACAGGGCTCAGTCACTCAGTGCTATGCTTAGTACTTTTTTAAATATCTATCGGGAAGTCTGGCTGGGAGAATGGTACTTAATTATGACTAATTCTAGGCTAACTTTGTCAATCCAAGAACACGTGCAGTACTGGTTTTTATAAATCGGGGTATTAATTTTTGGGTACACTTGCAAAATTTATCAATTCAGGAAGAAATTCAGACGCTCAAATGACTTCTTTTACAATAACGTGGAGAGGAAAGGAACACACAAAAAGATGATGCGGTAGGAATTTTTAAAGTGTTCTTTTTATTGTTTCTGGTTGCACAATTTCATATTAATTTATTTTTATTACCACAGTTATATTGACAAAAGTATGTGTACAAATTTATTTATGCCCACAATGTGGTGTAAGGAAAAACACTTATTCGGAGCACATTTTCCAATTTCAAGTCTGGATTCTCTACATCCTTTAATCACAATGTCATATATGTTAATAGAATAGCAGTGTGTCATATGAATCTCAATTTTTTGAACAAGAAAATGAATTTGGGGATTTGGTAAGTTTACATATATTGTAAAACTATGTAGATATAAAAATACGCTATGTTTATGGGTTTTTTTTCATTTATATGTAGAATGAACAAAGTGAAGATATTGCTGAAAATTATGACAAGCACCAAGAGTTAACCACCAAAACACAGGTTTTAATGTACATATTGATATTGTTTCTCATGAAAAGTCATTGGAAGTGGTTATATGTAGGACTGCTTTCACTAGAAATAACTAAAAATTTGAAGTAATTTAAAGAAGGCATGCATTATTTAAACACTTATTAAAAGTCTGTACACATTTTAAATTAAATAATGGTCTTTATTTGTAGGACTCTGAAGATATCTTTACCAAGCAATCTATCTCTATTATTACAGAGGAACCCAAACAACCATGTCAACATAGTCAAGTAGTTCTCACATATACAGTTATACTTTATACTGTTTACCACTAGTCATGTTTTTAATGTGTTATAAATTGACAATATGCTTGTTGATGGCTTATGCATGAAACACTGTGTAGCAAAACTTTATTAACATCTGGTAGAAATGTGCTCAACAAACATAAAAATATATTACAATAGATATTTTTGAAACAGTGAACATTAATAATTACTGTGTACTTGCTCTTTCAGAGTCATTTGTCACCCACTGGCCACTATACTGGGCTATTGTTACAGTTTGACTTTGCATCAAATGTATCACGTCAGCAATCCTTTGTTGTTCATGATTATAATGCAAACAAAAGAACAATTATGGTGATGTCAAATTTTATTTCCATAATTTCAATGTTGGGTATATACCCAACTAAATGATATTACTCAATACGCTTTTTTTGGTGCTATAATCTGAATGTATTTTTTTTTCAGCATAATTCATTTGTATTTGTACATCGATATCCCCACCTATTGCTTGATGGCTATGGTTGGATATTGTGCTGCTCATGTGATGCAAATAGAAAGCAATTTGTTGAAGCCCTACCTAATAATATACAATTAGATCCTCAAAAAGGTATGTAAAATAGATGTTACTGAAATGAAATGATTAAAACAGGCCAAACAACATTTTTGTACTTGTCAGATATACCATATCCTAGTTGCATACACATATTAGCAATGGAAAAAATATCTGGTTGTGTATGATAGAAAGTTTGGTTTTGAAGCCAAAGATTATATTGAAAAAAGTAAGTGTTGTGTGTTACTCTTTCAGGATATAAGGTGTCTGAACAGCTTCACCAAATTTTGACTTACACTTACATACTATTTGTTTCAAGACCCTTGTCAAAGATGTGAGAACTTGTTACATATTAATCTGACATTGCATGTAGTGAATGTCTCAAATTTGTATTTGGCTTATTTTTTCAATGTAAAGTTCTTCATGTGGTATGGGAGAAAATGTCTTCATCCTTAAATATCAGTTTATTGGACATTTCAAACCCTTGTGAAGTCATCCTTCTGTGTTTTTACAAGACCCTTGTTCGACATTGTTCTTATTACATGTGGATGTTAACCAGCACAGCTTTACAAGCAAAAATATTGTTAAAACTTGTGAATGATTATTTACACAATATATTTATCTCATCAATTTCTTTTAAGAATGCAGAATCCACATCCATGATGCAGTCTGTTTTCAGTGATCATTCCTACCATGAGATGCAACCTGAAGAAGTATATTTTGTTATGTGAAAATAACTTTTTTGTACAAATACACGTATTGTTTCTCAACCTTCTAATACCCCACAATTTGTTACCATACATCCTGTGCCTAAGTTCAGGAGCTTCTATAAAGCTATTAGGGTGATAACCAACAGGGCAAATTGAATTTATTTATGACTATTGAGGTATAAACATTCATACTCACATACATACATAGCCACATACTTACAGTACATACATTAAGTAGTATAAACTAAATGTATGACAAAAATAGTAAAGTCATATTCACCATTTGCTTTACGTGCCTGATATATATATATTAAGCACTTTCTAAGGATTTTGTGAAGTCATAATTAATCATAATTATTAATCTGCATACACATACACACATACATACACACACATAATACAACCTTAAGATAAATGATTTTACATATTTTAGGACTTGTTTAGTGCAGTGTGCAGGAGGTTCAGTGGATTGCTGTAAAACCAGTGAATAGTCCATGGGGGTTTGTACTTTTGTGTATTCAAAAGTAATGCCGCCACCCGAGTTAAAATGTTGCAGCTATTCGTCATATCATTGCATTCATGTGACAACCCTTGCAAATCGTTGACGAGGATGAAATGGATTCTCCATTGGCACTTTTTAAGTTTTCCTTTGGAATTACACCAGATGCGAGACTATTTTGAATTGGCTACACTTAGCAAAGAAAAGGTTTCTTTATTTGAAACAGGTATGCAAGATAATCTGCAATGGTGAACATCCTTTTAGCTTTACATATACTATTTCCTTTATCGGTATGGTATTTAGCACTTTCTAGCATTTTGTAAATATTACAATTTAATTATTTTAGGCAATGAGAATGATGCAAGCGATTTTACTGATCTTCCAGAAAAAAATGGTCATAAAATTTTGGCGTCATCTGAAAGTGGTATTTGTTCTTGTGGTGCAGAGTGGGATAAACGTTCTATTCAAGATGAATCGTTGTACGTAGACTTGTGTTCAGTTGCGTACTTTTGTTCAATCCATGATGTGAAGGGTAAGTTCTGATTTGTTATAGGTTACGCTTCACTTCATAATTATTTGACTTAAATAAATTATTTAGTGTATTGTAGACCTTGCTCCTCTTGTGCTACGAAAAAGCATTATGATGGCATTGAAAACAGGATTGTATGGTTTGGATCATATGCAATATCTCATACCGTTCTAAAAGATTACATTCGGCTTTTCATAACGTCGAGGTACTTTTGATCTACCCAAGAAAGATCTCTCGCGGTAACATGTTAGGTATGGCCAGTGTGGTTGGTCATCGTCCTTGAGCCTTTTGACACCAGTTCAGTATACGTTAAATGTCCTGAAGACGTTGAGGAGGTTGCTAGTAAAGCGTCACCTAAACCAGAAGTTAGTTTTCATGGTATGCTAACGGATTACGCAAACGTTGTTAGGAAGAAGCTCAAATCAAATGGTTATGGTCTCGTTCCATCGTCGTCTGAGGATGTTTCATGTTTAACCTGTATCTTTCACCAATGTTACAAATACTTAGTTTTTTTATGTTTTTTGAAATTGTCGTTTTTATGACTATTATTTTAGAGCATAGACATTGAAGAATCTTGTGGTAGTACAGGTATTTTCAACATTTTTTTGTTGAAAAATTCTCTAGTTTCAATTCTTCGAAATTTCTCATCTTAATTTTCATCTTTACTTTAGAATCCTTTCGATACGAGAAATCGTCGGGATTTGAGGTACTTTATACGATATATTGAATTTAAATTTTATAGCGTTAATAACTGTCACCTGTCCATCGTAACTTTGCTATAATTCTATGGATAAATTATGTTTTTATATATAGATTATTGATGATCCTACTTCACCTGAAGGTGTTCAGCAAGAACGACGTATGAAGTTACTGTCGTTAATTAACAATAAAGCCCTTGATAAAGGGTTGGATGGTCAAAATCATAAATGTCATGGTTCTTCCAGACCAATTGGAATGAGTATGATCAATGAATTCTCGACTTGTTATTTGCTAATAACTCCAATATATTTATTTTCAAATTTCTTAGCTTAATAAATATTATCCTTTGTAGAAACAATTATAACAAAGTACATAATCCCTTTTTTCCGTGAAGCCCATGGATGCGTTCGTTCATGATGAAAGAGTCATATTGTATAATGAGGCTCTCGTTCATCACGAGAGAGTTATAAGAAAGTTACGTTGTAAAAGGTAATAAGTAAAAAACATATAAACATGCTTAGTGTTTGTTTAAGTTAAAGTTCAAAAAGGCAGAAATTTTTTGAACCTTTGAAGTATCCTTGGACGTTCTAGTTTTTTTTATGAGAAGAATTCTTGTGAAGAAAAAGATAAATTTTGAAAACCAAAGAATCCCGTTTTAAGTCCATTCCTCCCGATACCCCGAGATAGTTGATCACTAGAGCGTCGCATGTTAACTAAGGGAACCACATAATCCTTGTTTGTTTTCCATGAAACATATGGATGGTTTGCTCCTGATACATGAGAAACAGTAAATGGGAGAGTTAAATCAGAAAGATATAAACCGATAAAATTGGTATAAAACTTGTTTAAGGTTGTCTTTATTTATAAGTGTCAGACAGGTTCATAAGAAGTTAATTGAAACATTGCTTGGTTTGTTTTATTAGAAGAAAACAAAAAGATAAAATTCGAAAGCAAAACACCCCCGTTTTCGGTCCATGCTTCCCGATACCTTCTTAAGCGCAAGGCACTAGAACGCCGCATGTTAACATTTCGGTAGGATATTTCGGCCCCTACACGCTATCCTACTTGGGAGATGCCAATAGCAAGCCCATCAGACCCTGAGATCACCTGCGATAGGCTTTGCTCAGGGTACGCAGGGAGAGTGCGGTCGCCACCGAAGTGAGGGCCCCTAATCCACTGCATACTATATCGCACCCAGCTTCCACTGCTAGTTGAAATCTACTATATGAAGTTTTAGCTTTATATATATATACCAAAATTTAAAGGCGTACGAAAGTTGTGGGATGATTGTTATCGTTACTGCGCATGCGCAGATGATTTGTCTTAAAACGTGTGACTGAGCGAGCTAATTACTCCATAATCGGTACTAGTACATCCAGTTGGTCGTTACCATGAGTTTGGAGAGTTTGTGGAGTTGACAACACATGCTCAGATTCTCAATTAATTTGTGACAGAGCGAGCTCTGAAATTTTTGCTTGTAGATGCAAGCAAGCTGAAGCAAGTTGAGCAAGTTTTCCATCATATATTTTTGAGGATGTTTCATGTTTATCCTGTATCTTTCACCAATGTTACAAATACTTAGTTTTTTTATGTTTTTTGAAATTGTCGTTTTTATGACTATTATTTTAGAGCATAGACATTGAAGAATCTTGTGGTAGTACAGGTATTTTCAACATTTTTTTGTTGAAAAATTCTCTAGTTTCAATTCTTCGAAATTTCTCATCTTAATTTTCATCTTTACTTTAGAATCCTTTCGATACGAGAAATCGTCGGGATTTGAGGTACTTTATACGATATATTGAATTTAAATTTTATAGCGTTAATAACTGTCACCTGTCCATCGTAACTTTGCTATAATTCTATGGATAAATTATGTTTTTATATATAACAGATTATTGATGATCCTACTTCACCTGAAGGTGTTCAGCAAGAACGACGTATGAAGTTACTGTCGTTAATTAACAATAAAGCCCTTGATAAAGGGTTGGATGGTCAAAATCATAAATGTCATGGTTCTTCCAGACCAATTGGAATGAGTATGATCAATGAATTCTCGACTTGTTATTTGCTAATAACTCCAATATATTTATTTTCAAATTTCTTAGCTTAATAAATATTATCCTTTGTAGAAACAATTATAACAAAGTACATAATCCCTTTTTTCCGTGAAGCCCATGGATGCGTTCGTTCATGATGAAAGAGTCATATTGTATAATGAGGCTCTCGTTCATCACGAGAGAGTTATGAGAAAGTTACGTTGTAAAAGGTAATAAGTAAAAAACATATAAACATGCTTAGTGTTTGTTTAAGTTAAAGTTCAAAAAGGCAGAAATTTTTTGAACCTTTGAAGTATCCTTGGACGTTCTAGTTTTTTTTATGAGAAGAATTCTTGTGAAGAAAAAGATAAATTTTGAAAACCAAAGAATCCCGTTTTAAGTCCATTCCTCCCGATACCCCGAGATAGTTGATCACTAGAGCGTCGCATGTTAACTAAGGGAACCACATAATCCTTGTTTGTTTTCCATGAAACATATGGATGGTTTGCTCTTGATACATGAGAAACAGTAAATGGGAGAGTTAAATCAGAAAGATATAAACCGATAAAATTGGTATAAAACTTGTTTAAGGTTGTCTTTATTTATAAGTGTCAGACAGGTTCATAAGAAGTTAATTGAAACATTGCTTGGTTTGTTTTATTAGAAGAAAACAAAAAGATAAAATTCGAAAGCAAAACACCCCCGTTTTCGGTCCATGCTTCCCGATACCTTCTTAAGCGCAAGGCACTAGAACGCCGCATGTTAACATTTCGGTAGGATATTTCGGCCCCTACACGCTATCCTACTTGGGAGATGCCAATAGCAAGCTTCCGCCCATCAGACCCTGAGATCACCTGCGATAGGCTTTGCTCAGGGTACGCAGGGAGAGTGCGGTCGCCACCGAAGTGAGGGCCCCTAATCCACTGCATACTATATCGCACCCAGCTTCCACTGCTAGTTGAAATCTACTATATGAAGTTTTAGCTTTATATATATATACCAAAATTTAAAGGCGTACGAAAGTTGTGGGATGATTGTTATCGTTACTGCGCATGCGCAGATGATTTGTCTTAAAACGTGTGACTGAGCGAGCTAATTACTCCATAATCGGTACTAGTACATCCAGTTGGTCGTTACCATGAGTTTGGAGAGTTTGTGGAGTTGACAACACATGCTCAGATTCTCAATTAATTTGTGACAGAGCGAGCTCTGAAATTTTTGCTTGTAGATGCAAGCAAGCTGAAGCAAGTTGAGCAAGTTTTCCATCATATATTTTTGAGGATGTTTCATGTTTATCCTGTATCTTTCACCAATGTTACAAATACTTAGTTTTTTTATGTTTTTTGAAATTGTCGTTTTTATGACTATTATTTTAGAGCATAGACATTGAAGAATCTTGTGGTAGTACAGGTATTTTCAACATTTTTTTGTTGAAAAATTCTCTAGTTTCAATTCTTCGAAATTTCTCATCTTAATTTTCATCTTTACTTTAGAATCCTTTCGATACGAGAAATCGTCGGGATTTGAGGTACTTTATACGATATATTGAATTTAAATTTTATAGCGTTAATAACTGTCACCTGTCCATCGTAACTTTGCTATAATTCTATGGATAAATTATGTTTTTATATATAACAGATTATTGATGATCCTACTTCACCTGAAGGTGTTCAGCAAGAACGACGTATGAAGTTACTGTCGTTAATTAACAATAAAGCCCTTGATAAAGGGTTGGATGGTCAAAATCATAAATGTCATGGTTCTTCCAGACCAATTGGAATGAGTATGATCAATGAATTCTCGACTTGTTATTTGCTAATAACTCCAATATATTTATTTTCAAATTTCTTAGCTTAATAAATGTTATCGTTTGTAGAAACTATTATAACAAAGTACATAATCCCTTTTTTCCGTGAAGCCCATGGATGCGTTCGTTCATGATGAAAGAGTCATATTGTATAATGAGGCTCTCGTTCATCACGAGAGAGTTATGAGAAAGTTACGTTGTAAAAGGTAATAAGTAAAAAACGTATAAACATGCTTAGTGTTTGTTTAAGTTAAAGTTCAAAAAGGCAGAAATTTTTTGAACCTTTGAAGTATCCTTGGACGTTCTAGTTTTTTTTATGAGAAGAATTCTTGTAAAAAAGACAAATTTTGAAACCAAACAATCCCGTTTTCGGTTGATGCCTGCCGATACCCGAGATGGTTGAGCACTAGAGCGTCGCATGTTAACTAAGGGAACCACATAATCCTTGTTTGTTTTCCATGAAACATATGGATGGTTTGCTCCTGATACATGAGAAACAGTAAATGGGAGAGTTAAATCAGAAAGATATAAACCGATAAAATTGATATAAAACTTGTTTAAGGTTGTCTTTATTTATAAGTGTCAGACAGGGTCATAAGAATTTAATTGAAACATTGCTTGGTTTGTTTTATGAGAAGAAAACAAAAAGATAAAATTCGAAAGCAAAAAACCCCC